TTTATTCTATTGGCTTTTGAAAGCCAATAGAATAGACTCTCTTGAATAGAGTCTAATTCTATTGGCTTTCAAAAGCCAATAGGAATTGTCCAGGCTGTCTCTGCCCTGCTGAGCCCGCCAAAAGTCCCATTCTGCAAACGGTGCTGCACCAGTTGAGTAGTCCTCGACTTACGACCGGTTGGGGGTCACGGTATTAAAAAGGTTGAGAACCACTGCTCTAGGTAGACCGGAAAATAAAGAAGAAAGCACTTCCAAGATAATTGTGTGGGCAGTTCTCAGGAATAAAAACTTAACTGGAGGGCGTCTCTGTGTATCTTTACATATTAAAAATTATACATGAAGTATAAATGATCTCAACAGAATGGGAAATACTGCAGTTGAGTGTTTTGTGTATCCTTTCTCTCTTAATAAAATCTGGTATGCATCCCAGATGAAGCCTGGAATACAGTGCTTCCTAACTATGGCATGATCTAAAGTTACACGCAAAAACTCTATGGGCAAGAATTCTGTCTGGATTTTTTTTCAAACTCAACATGTTGCATTTTGATTCGGAAAGTTTGCCAACACATTCAGCATTATCAAAGGGCATGAGTGGGTTGGAAATTGCCTCCACATTTGCACTCAGGAGCCTTTAGGCAATTAGGAGCCAGTACTTGAACATGTATTTGTTTATTTATTAATTTTATACGCCAACCACTTCACAGTTGGAACAATTCTGAGCTTAGAAGCTCTCCTAAAATTAATTAGTGGGCTGATCACATGTAACTTTACTGCTTCTAAGTTCCTTCAACTCCTTGGCTTTGCATGACTCGCATATTTCAGATTCAGACATGGAGAAAGCACTGCAGAAGCCCAGCTTGGATTTGATAGTATAGCAACAGCAATAACACTTAGACTTAGATACCACTTTATAGTGCTTTATAGCCCTTTCTAAGTGGTTTACAGAATCAGCATATTTCCCCTAACAATTTGGGTCCTCATTTTAACGACCTCAGAAGGATGGAAGGCTGAGTCAGCCTTGAGCCAGTGAGGATCGAACTGCTGGCAGTGGGCAAAGTCAGACTGCAATACTGCATTCTAACCATTATGCCACCACGGCTCTTGTTTATCAGCACTGGTTTTTCTTGAAGCTTTTATTTTGTACTCATGTACTTCATCCCAGCAGTAAAATGGCATATGAAAAAGACAAAATAGGGCTTGCAAAATAGTTTAAGATCCTACCTAGATCTCTGTGGTCATCAATTCCAAATCCCTATCCTTCTTGTTTTTCAGAGGGGAGTGAGTGGGTGTCAAGCAACTCATAGCATTTTAGGGCCACTAAGCACATTTGGTCCTCATTGAATTTGGGTGGGGAATTTCCTCCCAATCCCCTAAAAATAGTTTAGCTTGGAGTGGAACCTGTGCTTGCTGATTGTGTGCACTGATAACTCATATTTAGTCATCAGAAGGAAAAGGAATGCTTATAATATATGCAGCATATTAATTATTTTTTCCATCAGCTAATGAATTGAAGCAGTTGAAACTTGAGTCGAGTTGTCAAGTATCTCCTGGAAATATCTTGAAAGTTAGAATATCAATAAAGGAAAATTATTTAATGTCTCCGCTTGCCCCCAAAAAGATGACCATGGAAGAACTTCCTCCTCCTCCTCTTCTTCTTCTTCTTCCTCCTCCTCCTCCTCCTCCTCTTCCTTCTCCTTTTCCTCTTCCTCTGCTTCAGGTGACAAGGGAGATACAAAGTTCTGGCTCTTGCCCTTCTGGTGGCCTCAACCATTGTTAACTGATGTTGTATTGTGTCCTTGATGTTGTCACTCCATCTTCTTTTGGTTCTGCTTCATGTTCTTTGTCCTTCTCCTCTTTTTGTATACACCTTGTACGGTATGGAATCCCATGATATTCTCTCCAGGTGAGCAAATCATTTTACCTGTCGCTTTTGTAAGTAATTTAAAATTTGTTCTATGCCAATTCTTTCTCGGATGGTCTCATTTCTGATTTTATCTCTTCTAGTCACTCCAGCAGCTTTCCTCAAACTTCTCATTTCTGTGGTGATTTAACTTTTGTTTATGTTTTGTTGTAAGTAAACCACAGTAAAATCCATGGAACATTAAAATCCATGGAGAGATTAAGATGAGGAGAATTTTAGCATTTCTACCTGTAGAGGTAGCTTACAGAAAGGATGCTGGATTAAAAGTGGGGAATCTTCCGATGCCAAAACCTTCGGAAATCTTTTTTTATCATTTTTCTAAATGATAGGGCAGTTTATTTTTAAAAAATCCTTTTATGAACTTTCAGCAGCCTTTAGCAAGTGCTCCTTTTCCCCCTGCTGGCCATATCTAATTCTGTGCTAATTATTCTCCATAGGCTTAATTATGGATTATCACATTGCTTAGAAACTGAAGAGCTAAAACTGGAGAGTCCTGGTAGAATAAACCAAGACTCCCTCTAAGTCACTGGTCATAGAGTTTCAGGAAAGAAATATTGCTTGGATTTCTCTTGCATGCTTTCTTCATAACAACCCCCCAAGATTTGACAGCTGAAGGTCACCAGCAAAGCTTCATGGTTGATCGAGGAACTGAAATTAGAGTCTCATATTCCTAGTTTGGAACACTGATTCAGCTTGGCTATGCTGTTCGATCTCTGGAAAAGGCTCTAATGCTGGGAAAGATGGAAGGAAAGAGAAGAAGAGGATGACTAGCAGCAAGGTGAAGGGACTCATTAATGGTGGTAATGACTACACCTTTGGGATACTTGAAAAAAACACAGTAAGGATATGTTGTCATGGAGAAAATCTATATATGAGATCATTAGGTGTTTTAAATTTCTTGATGGCACAGAATCAATCAATGCTGCCTGAGGATGATGGAAATTGCAATCAATACATCTGAATGGTGCCAGATTTGAGGACTGTTGGATAATAACAGAAGTTTTGTTCAGGCGCTGAGTCACAACACTTCATAATCCCATGGACCATAGCAAACCAAGACCCCCGATCCTCCACTGTCTCCTGGAGTCTACCCAAACTCATGCCCATTGCATTGATGACACTGTCTAACCATCTCATCTTCTGCTATCCCCTTCTCCTTTTGTCTTCAATCTTTTCAACATCAGGGTCTTTTCCAATGAATCCTTTCTTCTCATTTGATGGCCAAAGTATTTGAGCCTCTGCTTCAGTATCTATCCTTCCAAAGAACAGTCAGAATTGACTGATTTGATCTCCCTGCAGTCCAAGGGAGTCTTCTCCAACACCCTAATTTGAAAGCATCAATTCTTCAGCGCTCAGCGTTCCTTATGGTCCAACTCTCAGAGGCACATATTGCTACTGGAAAACCCATACTGTAGCTTTGATTATGTAGACCTTTGTTGACAATGTGATGTCTCTACTTTTTTAATGTGCTATCTGGGTTTGCTACAGCTTTCCTCCCAAGGAGCAAGCTTCTTTCCATTTCATGGTAGCTAAATGTTTGGGACTGTATGAGAAGAACTGTTATAAATACAATGATGCGACTCAGTTAGTCCTTAGTGGGTTTTGATATTTTACATCTACTGAGAGGTTTGGAAATAGGAAGCCTGGAGGCATGGAAACTGGTATCTGGTGTTTTCAGGGCTCTATTGTGTTTCATAGCTTTTCAATATTTCCATGAAACTGCTAGAAAACTTTATGAGAAGATTTGGAGCTGTGTTCTATCAATATGCTGATGACACTCAAATCTGTAACATTTCCAGGTTGTAATGTTGTTCCCTCGAGTGGCTTTCTTCTGGTGGGAAGGGGCTAGATCAGGTTTAATAAAATAAGGCTCAGTTTTGAAAAGATGGAAATCCTTATATGATTATTTATGGGTTTGAAGATTTTAAAAAAATGAATTAAGTGTGAGCCTGAAGAAATTTGCATAACATCCAAGAGGGAGGAGAGATTATAAGAGTGCAATTATTTGTTGAAGAAAAGGTTGGAAATAATTTTATTTCCTTGTTGTAGTTTCCTTTCTTTTTTCTTGTATCTCTTGGACATTATATATTTTCTCTCTATATGAATGAATGAATGAATGAATGAATGAATGGACAGGCAAGATGGAAATACTCATTGTGAGGGGTCAAAATTTCAGGCAAGGAGTTGGTTTCCCTGTTTTGAATAAGATCATTGTCTGCAAGCATTTCTCTAGTGTAAGTATTCAGTTTTTGAAGATAAATAGATAGATAGATAAATAGATAGATAGATAGATAGATAGATAGATAGATAGATAGATAGATAGATAGATAGATGATAGAAGCTTGCAGACATTATACATTAAATTTGGAGCAGATTTGTCTATTGACGCATCCACCCCCTATTAACTCACATACTCACAAAGGGAATCACTGAGCAAAACAAGTTGAGGTAGTATCAAAACTAGTTTTATTGCTCTCTTTCTCTCATTTCCTCCCCTTTGAACAAAATACAATATTTCTCTCAAAATAAATCTCTGCAGCTCTTTTTTACTGATTCATGGAATATGAACAGGAGTTGATGCCACTGATTGAAAAGAATAAGGGGAAGGGTTGTGTGTGTGGAAAAGGTGTGTATACATATGTGTGTGCATAATACAGGCCTTCAGCTGTGCCATTAAGCTCACAAGCACTTTGATCCTTGGAAGTGCTTAGAACCCCTGCCAGCCAAAGTATGTAGAAATAGTCATATGGCAAAAATCTTCTATAATAGCTCCCTAGGGCAGTGGTGGCGAACCTATGGCACGCATGCCAGAGGCAGCACTCAGAGTTCTCTCTGTGGGCACATGCGCCATCTCCCCAGCCTCACCTCCCCCCGTGGTTCCCTCCTCACCATCAGCCCCCTGGAGGAGTGAGTGTGGCCCATGCAGAGCAGAGCAGCCAAGGACATGGCAGCCAGGCAGCAGGGACAAGACTCTGCCCTCATGCCACATTGCGCGCAGTTGATGCTGTGGGGTGCAGGCGGAGGGCATGGCTGCCATCGCTCTGCTGGGCTGCCTGGGCGATCTTCAGTGGGCTGTGGAGGCGGTGGGTGGCCCTGCGGGTGAGCAGGGAGGGGGCAGGTCTGGTTTTTGGGCACTCGGTCTCTAAAAGGTTCGCCATCACTGCCACAGAGAATTCTGGGAGTTGTAGTTAGAGTGAATTTGAAAGGAAACTGAGTGGGAAAGCTTGCACTAGCATTTTCAGCTGAGAAAAGCCCACGCAGCCCTTCCACAGGGCTGCCTAGTTTTAAGTAACCACAGCAACTTAGTAGCCCCTGGCAGGTATGAGGCAGCTCACAAATACCTGATAAAAACCTGGCATTATAATTTGTTTAGACCTACAAGATAGCAAAATATTACTTACAACTTCTGTTTTCTACACCCCCTGGAATCCTACAAACTGACACAATTGCAACACCTTTCACCTTGTGATAAATACATAACTGAAGTGAGAAGTGTTCCAGACTGAGTGACTTTAAAATCACATTCCTTGTGTGGGTCCAGTGTTTCTGTGCTGAACGCATTGAATGATTCTTTAAAACAGGATCTCAGGAAGTAAGTCCAGTGTATAAGGGAAAAAAGGTTGATCAAATTCCACCTTTGCCGCAAATCAGAAAGAAAGGAAGATGATAAAAGTTTGGAATTCTGACACTTGAAACAAACAATCAGACATATAATTTTCAAGATCAAAAAACCACCATGGAAATATCTTTAACATTTCATATCAAAACTTGCTTTTTGGGTAAAGTTGTATGGGGAAATTGATGGGTGCACCTTGGCTTTTACTGGGAATGGATAAAAACCAGGGCATGGAATTTGATGGCCATAATGTTTGATCTTTTATTAGATTCTGTTTTCTGCACATCAGAGAAGCTACGTCATTTGTGAGGTTTGGAAGGAAGAGGAGGGAAGATATATTTAATTATTTAAGCAGCATAATGGGGATTGGATTATTTCTCCTATGATCATTATTTCTCATTTTCACTTACAGTTTCATAGAGAACTCTTTTCTTTCCCTTGTGAGTTGCTCATGTCAATGTCTTCTTTTTCCTAAGAATATTGTTTTAAAATATTATAAGATAAACATGTTATTCAGTAAAATGGGAGGTATATTTCTTTATCTAACATTATATAACTGATGCAAAAGGCTAAAATGTCTTCAGGATTTAGGTCTGAATGAAAGGTGCATAATACAAAAATCTTTGTCTTCTGGATGCAAAGATTTCATCCCACAGAATATTCTTTTATCCAAATATCCCAATTTGTTGGAAGCTGAGCCAATCTAGATCCGATTAATGCCTAGATGGGAGTCTGTCTTGTATTCTACATGGGTTGAATCTTAAAGCTCATCATTGAATCTGGGGCAGGTATAAGTTCAATAAAGCTTCTTAGTCTAATTAGCCCTTCTATAGCAACATAGTCTTCCTGAGCAATGGTGATTGCTCTGTGCTTTGATTGGTTTTTCATTTTGCCTTCTGGTATACAGGTGGTCCTCAATTTACAACCATTCATTTAGTGACCGTTCGAAGTTACAAGGCCCTGAAATGAGTGATTTATGACCATTTTTCTCCTTTACGACTGTTGCAGCATCCTCATGGTCACGTGATCAAAATTCAGATGCTTGACAACTGACTCATTTTCATGATGGTTCATGGCAGTGTTCTGGGATCATGTGTGATCACCTTTTACGACCTTCTGACATGCAAAGTCAATGAATCACCTAACGACTGTGTTACTAAATTAATTGCAGTGATTCACTCAGAAACTGTGGCAAGAAAACTTGTAAAATAGGGCAAAACTTACTTAACTGTCTCTCTTAGCAACAGAAATTTTGGGCTCAATTATGGTCATGTCAGGGACTACCTATACTCGATTACTTCTCTCCAATAGGAGTAATTTCTACCTTGCCATGGACAAAACCTTTGGGTAGAATTCTTCTTGAAATTGTATTTCTGGAGAGATATTGTGTTTACTACTGAATTTTCTACAAGGAGTCAAAGATGCAGGATGTGGCATTGATAGGGAATCAAACCTGAAAGTTAAAACCAGGTAGGCAGTGCAGAAGAAGAATGTATGGAAATATAACAGAATCATAACAATTACTGGCACTCAATAAACATATTACCCCACAAAAGAAAGTCTCTACAACAATTTCTTCCCATGAGGATCCCATGGGCAATTTGATTAGAAATCCAGAACGTGAGAAAGGATGTCACTGGACAGGTGAATCTTCTCAGTTCTGACTTCAATTTTAAAGCATGCTTGGGGTCCTTCTCAAAAAGGAAATGACAATATTTCAGTGTATAGCTGAATAAGATTGATGTCTACTCACAGAATTGATACAATTCCGCTCTACATATTTGAACTTCTTCTGCTTGTAGTAGTCCCGGTCAGATAGGAAATTTAACAGGAGCAGATCGCAAAGTACAGAGGCCTGCCAGAAACAAAACATATTGAAAACCTGCAAACCAATAAAGTTAATGTATTGAAATAGTCAAGATACGGTGAGGTAGAAATGGACACCATTTTCTATCATTCTCATAGAGAATGACTGATTGGCAGGCAGGTATCATCCTTGCTTTTTAATACAAGTGAGATGAGCATCCATGATAATTTAGAGACGAAATAATCTTGTAAACTATTGTCCTAACTTTACTCATTTGCTTTCTCTCTCTTGGAAATGTTGTGTGACTACAAGTTTATTTATCAAATTTTGAAACCTTCCATAAGAATCTTGACTTAAATTGTAAAAACACCAACTCTTGGCTCCCTTTGCCCCACTGACCACTAGGAAATTAGGAATACAAAAAACAATGAAGAGATGCCTGCTTTTTCCTTTTTTTGTCTGTTCCCTTCAATTACAAACATGATATTCTTAAAGTCTACTTCTCACACCTGATTTCTTCTTTCTCTTTCCTCCACCATAAAGACAAGAAAGCTCACAAATGCATGATTTCTATTGGAGAATATAACTTCCTTAATAAATGTTGCTTGTCTTCACTTGCCCATTCACAATCAGTTGGTATCTAGGCAGCAGACTGACTAGTTATAGCTCTTTCAGCCAGTTTTCTCCATGATGCTTCCTTCTTTTTAAATTACAATAATGTTTCTTAAATTTGTATTTCAATATGTCAGTTAATTGAGTACATTTCATGCTGTGTCTCCTTCTGCCAATGCATTGCTTTATTTTGGCAATGTGTAAGTGGCCACTGTGCATGTGGGTACAAAAAAAATCAGTGTGGATTTCTAGTGAAGGGCGGTAGTGGGAAAACGATCACGTGGTCTTTCAGAAATAGATCTTAGGATTCATCACTAGAAGCTGGAACAGAATTCATGTTAAACAGGAGCAGCTAAACTACAGGTAGTCCTTGACTTACAACCGTTCATTAAGCAACCATTTAAAGTTACAATGCCACTGAAAAAAATGAATTATGACAGGTCCTCCCACTTATGACCTTTGTAGCATCCCCATGGTCATGTGATCAAAATTCAGATGCTTGGTAACTAGCACATATTTACAATGGTTGCAGTGTCCAAGGGTCATGTGATACTATCTCCAAAGGACCTCCAAAGACCAGATTTTCAAGTATCTTCAAAACCTATTAAAGATGGACAATCCTTATCCAGGGAGAGGTTATTCTGGAGGGGAGACATCATCACTAAAAGATCTCCCTTTGACACTAGGACCCATAATATGGCATTTCACCAGATGGGCAGATTCTACTCAGAGCAGGCCATCTTGGAGATACCTAGATTTTAAAGCTGTGCTAGTCTCTTTAAAATAGGGTCAACCAGCAGGCCATGCAGTTTCCATAGAAGCATACAGTATTTATATGGGCAAACTTAGACATATACAGTACATAACTATCAAGAAAGCTGCATGCTAAAGTTTCTAATGGGACTTCTATGAGAGTTGCAAAGGTTTTAGGGATCTTATGAACTGTTACTAAAATCTTAAGATCTCAACAAAATACAGATACAGACAAAATACAGGCACTTACCACTCCAAAGATACCAATTCCAGAACCTACAGTAGTCATTGTTGGAATAATATCAAATTTTCCTGCCTGGATAAACAGAGGGAAAAGAAAGTTCAAAGATGTTGGGAAAAGAAGATGTGAATACAGTAGCTATTATTAGGGCTGTTACCAATTAGAGACCTCAAGTGAGCTTTGGTTGACTAATTAAGCACCAAAAGTAGCAATTAGCCTAGCTATTCCTCTAGTAATAAACTAAAGAGTGACTTAGAGTCAATCAATGTCTGCGGTTTGTTGTCATGATAAAACAGGACAGAGAGGAATTATTTATGTCACCATGGACTTTGAGGAAAGGTAGCCTGCTTAGCTGTATAGGTTGGATAAAGACCTGACACAGTTCGTGATATGTAGATAAAGTAATCTGAGATTACAAGCCAACATAAGGCCTGTTTGTGAGAAGGACAGTTCTATTAGAGATAAGCCAGGGGACTAAGACAATGGAAAGAATTATTTTATAAAAACAAGCACTACCTTCCCGTTCACCAAAATATCAAATCGGATGCCAAACACCTTGTACAGAATCCTCATGTCTCTTCCATTTTCTCTGTAATATCTGGCATACCTTTCAAAAATAAAGCAGAGAAAGCAAGAGATTGGTTGGAATGAAGGACTGTTATTATCAATCATGCACTGATTAATTTAAAATATTTGTGAGCTATCTTTCTAGACAACATTTACTCAAAGCAGGTAGTAAAAAATACAATAAAGACATTTTTTTAAAAAAGTAGACCTGTCTTACAACCCTTGGGAGAGTGTTCCATGTGAATAGAGCCTCTGCAAAAAGGCAATGCCTGTATTGCTAAGTATAAAGATCAGCTAAGGATCAGAATGTAGTGCTGATCTTCAAAAGAATGGCCAGGCTCATTTGGACATAGACAGTCATTCTTATAAACTGCTCCTAAACACCTTAGGCCTAAAGCCAATACTTTGGATTCCACAGTTTGTGGCCTGGAACCTTTATCACCTGGATTCTTTTGAACAATTTTGGTCAGGTTCCCAGGATTTGCCTGTACTTCAAATTTCCCCCTTCCTCTTTTAAAAGTAAAGGTTTTTTTTAATACTTTGGGGTTTTGAACTTATATTACAATTTCTTAAATATTGACACCTGGTCCTGAATTATTGGACCATGTATGCAACAGATGATGACACACAGCAATAGATTACAGTTTTATAGGCTATATAGCACAAGGGTAATTATGAAGACATTGAACCAAATGATAAAATCACAGAATCACAGAAAACAGATACTTTGGGAATCGTTCAGTTCTTGCATTAAGAACTGACTGAACATTAGGATTAGGGCTAGGGTCTCCTCTTTCAGCCATTGGTGATCCTGCCCTAGCGCTCTGGAGGCTGGGTAGACCAGTCCCACCATTGGCTGCCAGAGAGTGGTCAACGACAGTCAAACCAATAGAAAGTTGGAAATTTCTGCTCCCAATGCTTTTTTGCCCTTGGTCATTTAGTTTCTCTATTTAGGTAGGGAAATGTCTCTGAAACGATGATCCAACAGATCATGGGTTGTCTAGTTGTCAATATTACTGTAGTGGCAGGATTGCCCTTTAACCAGCCCATTTTTTTTTTTTTTTGTGGAGTGGAGATGGAGACTAGAACAATCTCACAAGATATAATCAAAATCAAAATTTATTAACAAAAAAAATCCTAGAAGATGTACTATCTCAGCGATTCTCAAACATTTCAGTCTCAGAACCCCTTTACATTTTTAAAAATGATAGAGTACCCAAAAAAGCTGTAGTTATCTGGGTTATATCTATTAATATTGATGACACTACTAATTAAAATAGAGTCATTTTAAAACATTATTTAATTCTGTACGATCCTGAAAGGGTCTTAAGGATCCCTAGACCCACACATTGAGAACCATTTTTCTGTATGAAACCCAATGTAACCAAACATGCATGCAGTGTTCTCAGCAATCCACAAGATGGTGCTGGTCTACTATAATTATTGAGCTGGAACAGAATTTCCACTTCTAAACTTACCTGGCAAACATCTAAGTATGGGGAATATAAGCTGACAATCATTACAATGACTTATTTATTAAAGCAAACATCCAGAGACTGTAAATAGAGATCACACCTTATCTCAACAATCCATTGCTTTGTGTGCTGTTTCTCCATTGTTACTAGTTTGGGTTTTCTAGACAATGACATGTCCTTATACTCTGAAGTACTCAGTTCCTATGCTGAACTAGCAAAGCTTTCAGGTTAATCCTAAATTTCCATTGGGCTTCCTGGCTCCTGACTTTTGACTTTGATTCCCTGATATTTCTTTCCTCGGTTGTTCTCCTGAGTTGTATAAGGCCCAGACTGGTTTACATAATAGCTGAAATGTGGTGCACTAAATGAAATAACCACAAAAGTCAATCCATACCTGAAATTATAGCCCGGAGAGACGTTACTGTCTTCATTGTAAAGCTTATGGAACTTGTAAACAGGTACACAGTGTTTCTGAGGCCAATCAAGGTCACAGTCCCAGTTTATGGTGATTCCAACAGTGCCTCCCTGTCCAAACAGAAGCAGCACTTTTAAAAAAAATCACAGTAGGTTTTGTTCATAAGTTGATTAGAATATTTGAGGCTATTTAGAGAAAAAGGCATATAATAGAAGGTGAAGTTGAAATTTCATTTAGGGTGAACTCATCTCCTTAACTCCTCAATTCCTGGTGACTTCCTGGATTTGTCCATGAATTTTTCTTGGCAACTTTTAGAACATTTCTTTCAACTTCTCAATCCCAGTTTTAAGCCCTGTTATTTTCTGGCAGTCTGTTCCAAATACTAATCAAGTATAATCCCACTTAGTTTTAAGCTATACCAAGAGTTGCTTCTAGGTAGCTTCTCTCTATGGAAACTAACCAATGAGAGAAGCAACCTAGAACTAAGGAGAAATTTCCTAACAGTTAGAACAATTAATCAGTGGAACAACCTGCCTCCAGAAGCTGTGAATGCTCCAATACTGGAAGTTTTTAAGAAGAGACTGGACAGCCATTTGTCTGAAATGGTATAGGGTTTCCTGCCTGAGCAGGGGGTTGGACTAGATGACCTCCAAGGTCCCTTCCAACTTTATTATTATTATTATTATTATTATTATTATTATTATTATTATTTCCAACGTCCCTTCCAACATTGTTGTTGTTGTTGTTGTTGTTATTATTATTGATTAGTTTCTGTACTCCAGCTGGGCACTATTTATTTAGTGTATGGCATATCATACATAGACTAGGAATTTATATCAACATTTCACCTAGGTTAGTAAAATATAAATGTTACAAAGATTTATGTTCAAATACCATTGTCTAGGCCATTTTCTAGTTCTTTTCAGGCCCAAATAGCAAGAGAGATCAGGAATATTATTTGAATGTGCCACATCAATGTTGAAGGGCTCAGCAGACCCAGGATCCAATATATTTCCAAATATTTATTAGAAAGTAATATAGACATTGCCATTTTTCAAGAAAAGCATATAGAAAACAAAGAACAGCAACTCAGAAGAAACAAAATTCATGGCTACAACCTATTGGAGCCACCTACTACACCAGCAATGGCATGGCTACATATATTAGAAGGACTATAAAGGCAAAGTAGTATGCAAGAATCATAGACTAAAATGGACATCATTTAAGTCTACAAATAAATACAGCAAAGCATGATGTTGCAAAAGTGAATAGATGATTTCTCCTGCTCTTATAATAAAAGCTAGCAAAAGATAGTGGGAAATTCAACTTGGAGGGCGGGAGAGATATTTTCACATGACATTGTGTTAACCTATGGAATTTGTCAGCACAGGATATAGAGATGGCCTCTGACTTTCTGAAATGAGGTGCTGAGAAAATACTGCTTGACACCTAAGCTGGGTGCCTAAAGTATGTAGGAAGATCTATATGGACAGGAGAGCTTTGATGCCCCTTCTCGTGATCCTTGTCCTGTCATTGGCATGATACTAACAAGTACCTTATTTTCATTGCACAGAGACCATTTAGAGAGAGAGATTGGTTGATTCCCCTACATTTGTTGGCCCATGAATCAACCAACCAGTGGAAAAATATCCAATCATTTTCCAAGAAGGGGCTACAGCTTCATAGGAAGGGAGTTTTGATAAATAGCAAGTTTAACCATCTGTCAAAACATATTCTGATGTGGCATAGGTGTTTTTTATATATAAGTTTAACGGTATAAGGGTTTAATGCTACTCTGTCATTCTAGATCTTTTAGATATCACACCAAAACAAAACTGATTATCATGGTACTTTGGGGTACAAGTTTAGCACTATGCTGGAAGAATACTAAACCTGTGTTCAAAAACAACCTGAACAATGGCTGATAGGTATAGAGAAAACTGTGCAATGAAGCAGCAAGTGTCCAGTTTTGGTCCCCATGATGCAAAAAAGATGTTGAGACCCTGGAAAGTGTGCAGAGAAGAGCAACCAAGGTGATAAGGGGTCTGGAACAGAGATCCCCAACCTTTTGGGCACCAGGGACCGGTTACGTGGAGAGAGGTTTTTCCATGGACTGGAGGGGGCGTGGTTTTGTGTGCTGCCTGCGTACCACGTATGGGGCTTTGTTTGTTTGTGTGGACCAGTTGCTGGCATGCCGCGGTCTGGTACTGGTCCATGGACCAGGGGTTGGGGACCTGTGGTCTAGAGGCTAAAATCTTATACCATTGAGGAGCCAAAATGGAGAGGAACAGCCTAAAGTGGCCATTAGATGCCAGATTGTTCACATTCTACGGAGGTCACAAGGATATGACACTGACTGACTGGTGAAGCAAAATTGCTGCTTGTTGCTGCATAAAGGGGGCAACAGTACTTTTACAGTGGAACAGCTGACACTAAGCTTTAAGGCCTTTTGTTTTTAAGTAAACATATAACCTTCTATCATAGTTTTTTGCCCCTGAAATTCCTCTTCTTTTATGGGTGACAAACTGTCTAGTGAATCATGAAGGGTATGTATCTGTGAAGATTCTTAGTCATCCAGGTTATGGTTGTCCCATAGGTGTTTTTTCAAGAAGAAACTGGACTTTGTTTTTCCTTGAAGATGTTTCGCTTCTCTTCCAAAAAGTTTCTTTAGTGAACTGAAGAAGCTTCTTGGATGAGAAGCAAAACGTCTTCAAGGAAAAGCAAAGGAAATTCAGTTGCCTCTTGAAAAGGCACACTGAGGTATGATGGAGGAAAGTTACGCAAATCAGATTGCTTCTGCAGCGGAGAGGGTTGCAAAGAAGAAAGCGATGTCATGTACATCATGTCATTGTGCAAATAATATAATTTATGCCATTTTAATAATATAATTCATGCCAAGCATGTGACATCATTGTGGCTTCTATTGGATCCTGTGGCTCGGCCTATGGTCTGTCAACTTTTTGTGCCTCTGACCATTCAGAACAGCCTCACCTTAAAAGCAAGTTGAGAAAAATTCTGTCCAGATTCTTCCACCATATGTCCAAGTTTAAACACAGGGCACAGTGGATCCTTGTCTTTGTGATAAACACATTTCTTCAGATAGCGTTCAGTAACTCGCTCAACAAGATTGCGTCTGTGTTAGAGGAAAGCAAATCATCATCTCAACTTGTTTCATTGTTCTTAGCTCACAGTATAACTACTTTCAAATTATGTTACATCTCTTAAGCATCTCAGTATGAACCAGATAGGGAAAAATATAAAGATCTGAATAATGATTATAATAATAGGTGTATTAAAAATATCATAAGGTGGACTATGGTGCTGGAGAAGACTCCTGCGAGTCCCTTGGACTGCAAGGCGTTCAAACCGGTCAGTCCTAGCAGAGATCAACCCCGACTGCTCTTTAGAAGGCCAGATCCTGAAGTTGAAACTCAAATACTTTGGCCACCTAATGAGAAGGAAGGACTCACTGGAAAAGGGCCTAATGCTGGGAAAGATTGAGGGCAATAGAAGAAGGGGACAACAGAGGATGAGATGGCTGGATGGAGTCACTGAAGCAGTAGGTGTAGACTTAAATGGACTCCAGAAGATGGTAGAGGACAGGAAGATCTGGAGGAACGTTGTCCATGGGGTCGCGATGGGTCGCAATTAACAACAAAGGTGGAGATATGGCAATATTTGTAGCTGAGAAGAAAGTCATCTCAGTTCTTCAATAAGACAAATTTTAAAAGATATACAATACTCTAAAAGTCTGCTTAACCAATCCTGGAGGTTGACAGCACTTTGCCTTTTAACTTTCTCATTTGTTCTTTTTAATTTTGTTTTAATTCCATTTTTTTACTTTGTTTTAACTATGGCTTTTATATGATCTTATGGTTCTATTTGTAAACCACCCAGAATCACGCAAGCGGACAGAATCGAAATACAATAAATAAATAAAGGACACCTGTAAATGTCTTGAATGGATGGATGGATAAATCACCAAATATAATAAAATCCACCCTCACAAAAGGGCTGTAGCTTATAGTTACAAGAATCCTTGACTTACCTGGAAACCCCAAACCTGGGGAAAGTAATGCTGTTTTTTATAAACAAGGTAAACTTTCCAGCTTCCAGAAGCAACGGTGGACTGTAAGACATAAATATTGATGTGTAGGTGTGAAAATACATGGAAATACTGCGCCTATAGAAGACTAATTCTTCCTTCCTGAGATTTAGCATCATTATGAACAGAAACCCCTGTTTCCCCCCCCCCATTTCTTACTTGGGAATGTTGTCATCAATTTCAACAGGGCACCAGCCAAATATCTCACAGGACTTCTGTGTACGGGTAAAATTCACACACTTCCCAGTCATGATTCCTGAGGAAAGTATAGTCAAAATGTGAATGAACATCACCCTAGATACCATCATGAATCAAACAGAGCCTTTGAATTAAAGACCACCCTATATTACTCCTCTCTCTGTGTTATTGCTTCTTAAACTGAAGATGCAACATAACACCATCAAAGCTAACAATTGTGTAGTTCAGGGTGTAATAATTCTTCTCTACTTTCTCCATCTGGGATGATGTGTCCAATTCTCAGGACCAGCATTCAAAAATAAAATTACTGTAATAAACTGTAGTAAATTTAGAAGATGGCTGCTAGGATGGTGAAGGGCCAGGAAATCAGATTCCATCAGGAACAGGTAAAGAATTTAGGTATACTTAGCCTTAGACTACTGAGGGAAGATATAACAGCAATCTCTTCAAATATCTGAAGGGACATTGTGGAGAAGAGGGAGTGCAGAGAGCCAGATCAGAAACAAGGAATTAAAACTACAAGGAAAGAAGTTCAGGCTAGAGGTGACAGGAAGAACTTCAGGACCATATGATAGGTTAGTTAGTGATTGAAGATGTTTAGAGGCTAGATGATCATTTGGTGAAGAGACGCTACAGTAGATCCTACACTGAGCAGAGTACTGAATAGCTAACATCGAAGGTCCCTTCTATTCCGTGATTCTGTGTTATGGAAATCCAATTAATAGGTTTATCTCTTTGGCTATTGCATGCTATGGGAACACATAATTATTCAGATTTAATCTTTAGCATATTGTATGAACCTAGATGAGTTTCCAGTTGATGATCATCACCAGATTTAACTTATAAACTGTTTCTAATTGATGTCATTTTGACCCTTTTTCATTTTTTAAGAAAATCGCATTTAAGAAAATCTTTCCCTAAAGAGGTTAGTATTCTTATTTTCATTTTGGGCAATATGTTTTTTTTTTTCAGTTTAAAATTGAAAACCTAACTCTTTTGGAATGTTAATATTATTGTTTGTCCTCATGCAGAATTTAGAACTTATTAATTTAATCTATCATCATTAAATGCTCTCTGTATGTGTCCACATAATTATATTCTTATACAGGTAGTCCTCAAATTACAACCATAGCAGAGCTCCGCCATTACGATTGTAAGTTGTGATGGTAATAGAACTCAATTTTATGGGACTCAATTTTTGTGGCAGTGGTAAAGCAAATGCCAGGATCATTCAGAAAAAAAACAACATGGTTGTTGTGAACCCATTATTTGCTATGGGGTAGTTTTGCTGCAAACAGGAAGTAAATACCAGTTTCTAGCAGAAACGTAAATTGTGGCCACGTGACCACGGAATTAAAACTACAAGGAAAGAAGTTCAGGCTAGAGGTGACAGGAAGAACTTCAGGACCATATGATAGGTCAGTTAGTGCAAATAATTATAAATATAGACTGGTTGCTGAGTACCCAAAATCCACTCATGTGACTGTGATGCAGGTGAGGGCAGATGTTTGAACTTTGAATCCATACCAAAGGTCAGTGGTGTCAAACTCGCAATGTCACGTGACGTGTCGCGACGTATCGTCACTTTTTTTCCATTGCCGGCAATGGGGTGGGCGCGGTTTTGACATGACGCATCCGGCCTGGCAGTTTGATGCCCCTGCCATAAGTCTCTTTTTCGGACACTTGTGTTGTAAATCGAGGACTACCTGTATTGCTAACTTTTCTTACCCCTCTATGCCAGGGTTTCTTAACCATGTCAATTTTAAACTATGTGGACGTAGCTGGCTGGGGTATTCTGGGAGTAGAAGTCCACACAGCTTAAAGTTGCCAAGATTGAGAAAGCTGCTCTATTGTATTTATATCAACAGCAACAAGCAATGAAACAATAATGGAGGAAGAGCCTCAAAATGTTGCAATATAAATGGTTCTCTTCAAAACCTTAGCCCCAATTTCCTTCCTCTCCCCAGCTCCTGGAAAACAATTTGTCAACATCACAAGGCCATTGATTGTTATCTGTCCTCATTTCCCCCCTCTTAGTCGCTCTTTTTTTACACCTGTTAAATGTTAAATGCGCTCTAATTTAGGATTTTTGAATCAATATTCAAATAGGAAGCTTAGGTATGTTCAAATTTCATGGTTCTCTGTATTTGGCAATGCAGTGTGTCAACAGTTTAAAAAGTAGTTATTAGGGAATACTGTATATATAACATGCATATCCTCATGAAAAATATGTTGCACTAAGGAAATGGCAAAATTTTGTCTACAAATCTAATCTTAAAACTTTATTCACAAAATGAAACAGTGGAAGAACCAAAACAGGCATGTTTTCAAAAATGAGAAATTAAAGAAAAAATCTCATGTCAGTTCATACTCAATGTATAGCTGTATGTGGGTTTCCCATCAGTCATTATGGAAAACAGGATATTGGACTATAAACATTCCAGGAAAATTCTTTTAAACTTTTTTTTAAAGTATGTCTAATAAATCACATGACAAGTAACATAAACAAGGAAGTGACTTTCTTTATCGAATATATACAGTATAATGGCATTGTTTGCATTCACACAATACATTGAATTATAAACTAATACTATCATATGAGTTCATAGGACACATTAAATCATAAAAACAATCAAATCAAGGTTAACACAAACCAAGCTTTTAGTGTGTGATGCAAAAGATAGCCTTCAAGTAACAACTACAATTGAGACCAAAATTTCTGTTGCTGAATGAGACAATTATTAAATGAGTTTTGCCCCATTTTACAACCTTTCTTCCCACAATTGTTAAGTGAATCACTGCAGCGGTTAAGTCAATAACATGGTTGTTAAGTGAATCTGGCTCCCCCACTGACTTTGCTTGTCAGAAGCTCCACATGCCCTTGGGACACTGCGGTAAATATGAGTCAGTTGCCAAGTGTCTGAATCTTCATTACGTGACCATGGGAGTGCTGCAATGGTCATAAATATGAAAAACAGTCATAAGTCATGTTTTTCAGTGCCATTGCAACTTTGAATGATCACTACATGAATTCTTGTAAGTCAAGGACTACCTGTACTCAGATAAGAGACCATGAGAAAATCATTGGGCTACATTTGACCTGATTAAGTTTGCTGTGTATCTAGAGCACAGGTCAGCAACCTGCAGCTCTGGAGCCGCATGTGGATCTTTGAGCCTTCCCCTGTGGCTCCCAGCCTCCTCTGCCATTTGCAGAGAGAGACAGAGACAGAGAGAAGCACTTATGCTTCCCTCTCTGTCTCTCTGTCTCTGTCTCTGTCTCTGTCTCTGTCTCTCTCTCTCTCTCTCTCTCTCTCTCTCTCTCTCTCTGTGTAAAAGAGAGTGGACTTATGCTGTTCTCCGACAAGCTGAAAAGCTTTTTGAGTGGGGCTCCTCCCTTTGCTGTGTCTTTGCAGGAAGCAGGAAGGGCAGGAGAGAGCTAGCTAGCCGAGCTATACTGACTCAGGAATTCTGGGAGTTGAAGTCCATGAGTCATAAAAACCCCGAAGTTGCCTAGCCCTGAGCTTGTTGGAGAACAGCTTGAAGTGAGCAGAAGATCGGAGAGAGGCAGAGAAAGAGAGAAAGAGAGAGGGGGAGAGAGGGAGAGAGGGACGGAGAGAGAGAGAGAGAAAGAAAGAGAGAGAGAGAGTGGGGGAAGAGGACTGCAGACCAAGGGCAGAAAGAGAGAGGGGGAGGGGGAGGGAGAGAGAGACACAGAGAGAGATATCTAAAATGAAGATAACACTGCATATATCCTTTTTTACCTTTATTATACACACACACACATATACATACATAGACACATACATACATACATATAAAGTTTTTCAGACAGACTGGTCTGATTGATTGCACCTTGGCATTTTGACTGCTATACTGCAGTTCTACTTTTTTTTTTAATAATCACTTTTGCCTTGCAGCCCTCCAACTAGGGGCGTTAAGCAGGCTCGTGTCACTACTGCGATACATTACAAATTTCTTTTTGCTGACTTTGTATATCATAAAGGTAAAAAAGGATATATGCAGTGTTATCTTCATTTTACATATCAAAAGGGTTTTGTGGCTCCCAGTGTTTGGTTTTCGATGGGAAACGGGTCCAAGTGGCTCTTTAAGTGTTTTGGGTTGCCTACCCCGATCTAGAGCTTAAACTAGTTTTCTTTCTCACCTTGACCTCGGCGAAGAAACTGTCCTTTATTACAATTACTGTCATTGTTACACTTCTCACTCTCAGGATGCTGCAAAGAGGAGAAAAATGGAAGCAGTTCAATAAGGAAAGGAGAGAGTGACTGCAAGCCCTCCTAACAGTCTTGCTAGACCTCATTGCCCAGTAAGACAACATTTAACATTCTATTTTAAAAATGTGTGACTATAGATGAACTTTTAAAATATATTACCGAATAAACAAAAACTCCATGTGTTTAGTATAGTTAAGTGAGGGGTTAGCTATAGAATCCTTTTTGGTTGGTGTGCATGTTGGTGTACAATTGCAACATGGCTGGTCGGGAGACAGTTGCCCATTCACAAAATGGCTGCCATGGGAACATCATCACTTACAGAATTCAACTTGCATTCTTCTTTAGTCACCCTTCTTGGTGCTATGGGGTTCCATAACCATAACCATATGAGCTAATGCTACTTAATTGTAAAGCTGCATTGATAGAATCTTGCAGGTCTGAAAGTACATTCTCCTTCCCTTTTACAGTCTGAGAAACTAGGGAAGGTCTCTTCTGAGCTTCTTGCCTTGCTCACTATCCAACTAAAGGCTACGCTGCTTCTTATCTGAAGGTTCCTTTGGCAATGTCTCTGCTCTATCACCCAAGTTCTTTCCCATACACCATTACATTATTCTTGTTCTTTTTTCTGGATGGGTCTTTCAGACAAACTGTTGGATGGTAGTTGCCATTGTTATTACTAAGCAAGTTTGTGAAACTCATTAGGAGTTGGGGGGGTGAGAGTCAGTGGCATTTAGATATATATTTTGGAAATACCAATTATATTGAAGGGAATGTGTTTTGCAGCCTTTCTGTTTTCAGAAAAAGAGTGAGATGATGGAGTATGAGGGAATATCAAGAGAGGTTTCTGTGAGCACATTGGCATTCTTCTTTCAGGTGTCTTAGGGGTTAGGGATCTTTCTTTAAAAAAGAGGAAGGAATCCCCACAACATGATTATTTCTGCCATTCACTGCAGCAAATATTTAACTAGATATTAACCACAAATGTCAAAACATAGGGAATGTGACAGACCATAGATATAGAAACAAGTAGGTCCTATGAGAACATGTGAATCCCTTCTATTCAATATTCATGTCAACTAATCCTGTCGTTTCCCAACAAATTATATTTTCCTTCTATCCTTGGTTTTTTTCTGCTTTCCAAGTATTTATTTATTTATTTATTTATGAGACTTATATACCGCTTTAAGTGCAAGCACTCTCTAAGCGGTGTACACCAGTAAGCAATGTATATATATATTTACATTGCTCCCAACAATCTGGGTCCTCATTTTACCTACCCCGGAAGGATGGAAGGCTGAGTCAACCTTGAGCCGGTGAGATTTGAACCGCTGACCTGCTGAACACAGTCAGCTAAAGTGGTCTGTAGTACTGCACTCTAACTGCTGCGCCACCTCGGCTCATTTGGATGCACAAAAGCATGATCAGTTCTCATTAAAAAAAATTTTGGGGGAATTTTCCCCCACTTCCTATTTAAATGTGTGTGTAAGTGTGGTATGAATGACAGAGACACTCCTGAAAATCTTGGGGACTCTACAATTTGTATGAAAGTCAATCTGAGGTTCTCGTTACTTCCATCTTATATACAGGATGGTGCTGTTTGGTGAAGGGGTGTTCCTCAGACAATTTTGATTGTTTACCAGCTTTCCCCACTATGGTACCTCCTCAGATATTTTGCATCTGCAATTCTCAGATGTATTTTAGGAATTTTGCTATCATTTCCCCAGTGAAGACGTGCAGTAGAAAACTGCAGCGATGACCTTGGAGAAATAATGCAAATATCATTAGCAAGTTATGAATTAAATCTGGGGAGAGCAGATAGCATAAGAACAAACTTAATATGTTTGACTTTCACCGATGTAAGAGAGGGAGAAGGGGAAATGTCAGGCTTTCAAGATTGATGTCAACACTTTGAGGTAAACTAAATCAGAAAACAGACTCTGCAAGGCATACTGAAACTCTACTATAAGGATTTACAATTTACAATAATAGCATCTTAAAAGCCTGATAACGTTTCCTTTCATCTTTTTTATGCTACAGAAAGTCGAGGCAGGGCAAACTTCAGTCTCTTCCTCACATTGTCTTCTCTGGTTTCATACAAATTTTGCTAACTATACATTCTTTTTCTGAGGTTATCTTTATGGCATCCTACAGAACACGAATAAACTAAAATATATGCAGTGCCAATATCAAGCTACATACCCCTGGACATGTTTCCTGTTTCTGCCCATGGGTGATAATAAAGTTAGTCATCACCACAAAGGAACTGTCTCCCTGCAGAGGAAAATAAGATGAATATGAAATTACTCATTTAATAGTTGCAGATTATTCTCTTGATTCCTGGCTAAGCCAAGAAAGTTAAAAATCACATCAGGACTTGTACTGTAATACCTTTGGCTGTAGTAATGCAGTTAGGTAAATCTAGGAGTTCATACCTTTATGCCCCCTTTCTTGAGGTAGCAGCCAGTTCACACTGACATCATCATCATCATCATCAAGTTGGAAGGGATCTTGGAGGTCATTTAGTCCAACCCCTTGCTCAGGCAGGAAACCCTATATCATTTCAGACAAATGGCTGTCCAGTCTCTTCTTAAAAACTTCCAGTGTTGGAGCATTCACACCTTCTGGAGGCAGGTTGTTCCACTGATTAATTGTTCTAACTGTCAGGGAGTTTCTCCTTAGTTCTAGGTTGCTTCTCTCCTTGATTAGTTTCCATCCATTGCTTCTTGTCTTGCCTTCAGCTGCTTTGGAGAATAGTTTGACTCCGTCTTCTTTGTGGCAACCCCTGAGGTATTGGAACACTATTATCATGTCCCCCCTCGTTCTTCTCTTCATTAAACTAGACATACCCAATTCCAGCAACCGTTCCTTATATGTTTTAGCCTCCAGTCCCCTAATCATCTTTGTTGCTCTTCTTTGCACTCTGTCTAGAGTCTCAACATCTTTTTTACATTGTGATGACCAAAAGTGGATGCAGTATTCCAGTATACCAAGGCGTTATAAAGTGGTATCTTATCTTGAAAAATTTACTTTGAAAAACTTAAGCAAGGTCTGACCTGGTTAATATTTTCATGGAAAAACGTTAGAAAAATACCATGGCTATAGGTAAAAGTGAATTTTTTTTAAAAAAAATCCCAGAGGTAAGCAATAGGTGATGCATTTCAATGTTCTTCTGTTCATAAGCTAAGGAAATAAGAAAGAGCTGGGGCTGTTGTTGTTGTTGTTGTTGTTATTATTATTATTATTATTTGCACAGTCAGCCAGATGTTCAGACTGTATTTGGCATATTTGTCTACCTATCGACCTGGGAGAGGCAGATCTGGATATTTGATGGTGTTACAGATATCGTCGCAGGATGGAAGCTGTCCCCAGTAAAGCTACCTTTTGCAATTGACTGATGGTGAATAATGATAATGAAGAAGATGATGATGATAATGATGATGATGATGATAATAATAATAATAATAATAATAGTAATAATAAATCTTCAATTCAATTCACAGTGTGGGACTGGCAAACACTTAACAGTTCAAGTCCTAACCAAGGACCTAAGAGCTGTTAAAGGAACGTCTGAGTATATAGGCACTTCTGAGTAAGGTCGGTTTTTTTTACAAAGTCAGAATATTTACTTCTGATAAGTTCAAAATTTCCATGTATCTAGGCAACCCTTTGGTATTGCTCCAAGGGCTCCTATTACTTTTGGTACAATTATTGATTTCTTCCTCCACAATCACTCAACTTCAATGTGCAGATCGCAGTATTTAGTTATTTTTTCTAGTTGTTTCTCCTCCTCCTCCTCCTCCTCCTCCTCCTCCTCCTCCTCCTCCTCTTCTTCTTCTTCTTCTTCTTCTTCTTCTTCTTCTTCTTCTTCTTCTTCTTCTTCTTCTTATTATTATTATTATTATTATTATTATTATTATTATTATTATTATTATTATTATTATTTGGTGATGTTGCATTAGCCAGGAGACCACAATGCTAGTGCAGAGTAGTAGCTTGGCTTGCCAGAGTACCAACCCTGTTATAGGAAATGCTTGTGCACTTCCCAAGATGTGCCATAGGAGGGTGGCACCAGAGAGAAAGATGGCCCCCTCCCTTCCCAGAGCCACCTCACAAACAGGAAGATTCAGAGCCATCAGGAATCTGACTGCCTGCACAGAGCACCAGTTGTCTCCTCACCAAAGTGGTACCTATTTGTCTACTTGCATAGAACATGCTTTCGAACTGTTAGAGGGATAGAACTGGAGGCAAGTGACAGAAGTTCAACCTGCCACGCAGTGCTAAGGCTCGAACTGCCAGAGCAGAGACCATCTCCAGCATCATCAAGCCTCTGAGCCACCATGCCTCTTAGAGCTGGAGCTGAATGACCAATAGGCCCGAAGAGAAAATGAGGACAAAACTCTCTTGCTATTCCCAGCAGGGCCAGGAATGGGGGAGAAATAAACGTAGACAATCTATCTGGAGTTCCCAGGAGCTTCAAAATTAGAATTGGGCAATTGTCATTTAAATTGGGAAGATTTTAAAATATTGATGTGACACTGTATTTAATTTAATATTAATCTAACTGATAAATGTTCATCCAAAATAGGAGCAGGTTGATTTTTCCTTTTGAAGGCCAGGTTTCTTTTAGCAGAATCCTGGAGTCAACCTTTGACCAACCAGTAACAAGTAAAAGGGAAGTTCTCCTAAATTAATACAGGTAGTCTTTGACTTATGACCGGTTGCTTAGCAACCAGTTGAAGTTATGACAGACCCCGCAAAAGGCACTTATGACCCAGTTCCAAAGTCTCTGTTTATTCTCTGGAAACAACTCTTCCTTGCTCCTAAGGTCTTACCTGAGGAGGGAAAACGTACTCTGCCACATCCCATAAGTACGGACCCATGCCACTAATGTTGGTTAGTGCGATGCCTTTGAGCTTCACTGAGACGGAGTTTATGATGCTATCCTTAGACTGGTAGCCTTTCTCATACAGGAATACCCACCTAAGGAAGACATTTATTTATTTTTTTACAAAAAAAAGGTAAATAACAAGCTTAGAAAGTAAAAGCAAGAAGGAAAACTAATCTGGCAAAGAAATAAATAGCATTTACAACAACAAATATTTTTGATTGAAGTGATACCAATGTGAATATTTTACGTTTTTTACTGCTTATAATCTAAGTCATAATCATTGTAGACTTGACACCTGTAAGTCCAGATTTTGACCTCTATTAATGTGTTCTGCAGACTCCTTATTCAGAATTTGGCTTTCTAAGTGGAGGCTCACATATTTACTAAACTGATTATCTTATTGCAGAACAAAATTAAGTCAACCACAACAGCAGTACTTAGCAATCAAATCTTATATATACGGTAAATCTAAGCTCCAGTGTTTAAATCTTAGGCTTTTTCCTCCCACTTTTTCAAATCAAAGGATATTTGACCATCCTCACTGCAGCTGGATGAGTTGATATAATCATTGTCTTGAGTCTGGAAACCCCTGGTTCTTTTCTTGGCAGGTTTATTTCTAACACCGCCAGTTTCTCTATTTTCTCCCCCCCATCCCGTTCTTATTTTGTGGTAGAAAGTAGCTGAAGAATATGGTTACCCACTTTCTGTTTCCATTTCTTTGTCATCTGGAGCCAAAAAAATCTCTTCTTTATGATACCTTATCTTTTCCTCTTCCTGCCTGAGAGCAACAGAAAGTGGCATGAGTTACCACTTTAGCTCAAGCTGTTGAGATATCCTTACTTTCATGCCTCTCTAATCCTCTCAACACCAGACAACAGAAAGACATTTCAATTTCTTTTATTTCTTTCTAAGGAACTCTCCTTACTTCCGAACTCTTCTTTTTATTTTTGTATGGTGCAGACTGTGGCTTTCTCTTGTCAGTCATCCAATGTTTCCCATCTTCTTCCCAATCAAGTCTCGTTCTCCCCTCCCTTTGTCAGAGTCATTTGTCAGCAGGTACGCAAACTTGAATGTGTAATCAGCCAGGAGGCTAAAACTTGTGAAGGTAGAAATAGTCCTCAGCTTACGATCACAACTGAGCCCAAAATTTCCATTGCTAAACAAGAGTTAAGTGAGTTTTACCCATTTTATGACCTTTTTTTGCCACAGTTGTTAAGTGAATCACTGCGGTTAGCTGTTAAGTGAATCTGGCTTCCCCACTGACTTTGCTTGTCAGAAGGTCGCAAAAGGGGATCACATGACACCCCAGGACCTTGCAACCATCCCAAATACATGCCAGTTGCCAACCATCTGAATTTTGATTCTGCAAGGGTTGTAAATGTGAGAAATAGATATTTTTTCAATGTTGTAACTTCGAACGGTCACCAAACAAATGGTTGGAAGTTGAGGACTACCTGTTTGAATTGAGGAATTTGAACATTTTTAAAATTTTCTTTAAAGAAATCTACTATTGATTTTCAGGTTTTCCTCATTTCAGAAATAAAACTGAGACTGGTTGATTATATAGTTAAACAATTATGTAATAATTAATCTTGATTATATTATAGTTAAACAATTAGGGTCAGAAACACTTGCCAACTCAGTAGATCGCAATCTATATTTTCTTATAAAATAATACAAACTAAAGGAATACCTCTTGTTCAGCGAATATGGAAAGATCAAGACATAATCCTTAGGAACAGTTTTTTCAGAACAAATTCCATTATATTTGGAAGTGGCTACTTCCTAATGAGTGCACATAAAATTGAGCTTAGATAACAAGTCAGTCACTACTCAGCTGGCCAAATATTTGTTTTAGAACAATATTTATTTGTGGACACAGGGCTTTTTTTGTCATAGAACGCCCAGAACGGAGTTCCGACACCTTTTTTGGATGGAATCTTGTAGGGTAGGCAAGGCGGGTTGTATGACGTGTGTGAGTTCTGGCACCTTTTTTTTTTTTTGAAAAAAAGCACTGTGTGGACATACTTGCTAAACTTGCTGAACCGTGATCTATGAATGTGGATGTCCTTAGCCATTACATCACCAAATCATTTTCTCATCTGTGTCTTTCATCTGCAAAATAATAATACCTTACAGGGGTATTGTATGGGTTACTGAGCATATCAGTAAATGTTTGTAGAATGGCACATTATGATTTATAATGATAAATATTTCTAGAAACTATTCTGTAGAACTTTTACCATAAAGCAGCATTCTTCGACCTATGTTATATTTATTACAGGCAGTCCTCAACTTACAACCACAACTGAGCCCAAAAAATTCTGTTGCTAAGTGAAACATTTGTTAAGTGAGTTTTGGCACATTTTACAACCTTTATTTCCACAGTTGTTAAGTGAATCACTGCAGTTAAGTTAGCGACACAGTTGTAAAGTGAATCTGCCTTCCCCATTGACTTTGATTGTCAGTGACCACGTGACCTTAGGACACTGCTACCATCATAAATATGAGTCAGTTGCCAAGCGTCTGAATTTTATTAAAAAGTTTTATAAATTTTACAAAAAATAAAAGACAATACAAAAACAAAAAACAACATATACAAATAAAAACAAACATTACCCAACAAAACCCCCCTTCCCCCACCCCTACCCAACCCCCCCCTTCCCCCCCCAGGGCCTCCCAGAGCAGAATATAGGCTTAATTGAAAAAAGTTAAAAAATTTTTATATTTATATAAAAAAAAGAATATAAAATAGAATATATATATATATATATAAAGTTAAAAATTATGAAAAAACTATATAGTATTTTTTTATATCAAATTTAAATTGTATGAATTTTATCCATTTATCCCAAACAGCAAGGAATTTCTCTTGCGTTTGACCCTTTAAGAAACCAAGCGTCTGAATTTTGATCAGGTGCCCATGGGAATGCTGCACAGTTGTAAGTGTGAGAAATGGTCATAAGTTACTTTTTTCAGTGCTATTATAACTTTGAACAGTCACTAAATAAATTGTTGTAAATTGAGGACTACCTGTATTAGATTACAACTCCTATTATTATCAGACAAGATGTTCCAAGCCTCACGCTGAAAAAGGCTGACTTCTCTAACTGATTATCAGCTATTCTCAAAAATTAAATCTGGAATGGCAGAAGTGTATTGCTTCAAATCGCAAATCAGGGTCTTGCATTAAATACATATGGTTGTGCTCAACACAAAATATGTTCCAACTGTTCCTTTTCTTAAAAATAGTAGCAGCAGTTTTTTTTTCTTGGTTAAATTGGTGCCACCATTTTCCTCCTATTTTTATATCTTCATGTAGTGTTTCAATTTTTAATTCTTCAAGCTATAGCTCATCCCTCCCCTAGTGAATTTAAGATCATTCACCCAGTGCAAATAGCTGGAGAATCTTACTTACTATTTATGGTGGTTTACTGTATGACTCTTCCAAAAAAGGCAATAGTCATATCCCAAGAAATTACTAGTTGCTAATTTGTATGGATGGATGCAAATTTAGAAATAATTTTAAAAGTACAATCTGAAGAGTAATATTTATTTAATTTTAGTAGGAGAGACATCAGATACCTGTGTTTACTATTCAGATATTGACAGGCAACTTCAAAGTAGCCCTGCATTCCTTTCTTAGGATGCTTAATTCTTAAACTAGATTCAGTGCTCACCTGTGGTCCCATTAACCATCGCATGAAGATGCCCCACTGAAGAGGAATGCAGAGATGATCTTGACAATCACTTTTGGTGATGGTATTATAGAGACTATTGGAGATGACTTTAGAGAAAATATATATAAATGGTAGCAAAAACCGAGCATGCTTTGAGCCCAGAAAACAGTGAAGCATCAGAACAAAGCTCAGACTGGCTCTGTCCTCATTCGTTGGGGTATAGGAGAGATGGAAGGAAAAACACAGGTTTTCAAAATGCTGTTACTCTAGCCTGTCTTTAAATGTCAGTGGAGATTCTCAGTCATCCAGGTCATGGTTGTCCCAAAGGTGCTTTTTCAGGAGGCAACTGGACTTTCTTTTTTCTCTTTGAAGATGTTTCACTTCTCATTCAAGAAGCTTCTTCAGCTCTGACTGGATGATGGGGAATGGAAGGATTATACTCCTTGCAGACAGCTAGTCATTTGCTATTATTGATGCCACATGGAGGCTTATCTATGTCATCAGATAATTGGCCTTTGTCTTTTTTCTTTTTGGTCACTCTTTCAAAGACAACAAAGTCCACATTTTGGACAGAGAGGACCTCTGGTTTGAAAGAGGGGTCAAAGAGGTCATCTATGTCAAAATTGAACAGCCCTCTCTCAACAGAGGGGGAGGGATACGACATCATCTATCTCCAGTCTACAACACAGTCTTTTCAGCAGTTCCAAGAAGGCTCCACAACCATTTGCACTACTCAGGTGACCCTGATGACACAGATAAGCCTCCAGTTGGCCTCAATGACTCTCTAAAAGAATGCAAATGACCAGGTGCCTGCAAGGAATGTAAATTCTTCCATTCCCCACCATCCAGTCAGAGCTGAGGAAGCTTCTTGGATGAGAAGCAAAATGTCTTCAAAGAGAGAAAAGAAAGTCCAGTTACCTTTGGGTGTAGCCTATCTTAATAAAATATAGTTCCAGTCACCCTTGCAGAATTAACAGGGTAAGATGTGAGAAAGAAACTCAAAACAGCTGATTGCCAGCTGTTCAATTCTCACCAGCTCAAGGTTGACTCAGCCTTCCATCCTTTCACAGTCAGTAAAATGAGGATCTAGATTTTGGGGGGCAATATGTTGACTCTATAAACCGCTTAGGGAGGGCTGTAAAGCACTGTGAAGTGGTATATAAGTCTAAGACGCTATTGCTATTACAGAAGCAGCCTGAATTCCTTCTTATCTATCCCAGCTTTAAAGTAATGTTTTCCATCTTCTCCCAACACAAATCTTGGCATACAAATGATCTAGCTCTCCATTCACAATGATGAGGGCTGGTATCTACTATGCTCCTATTTGTGGCAGCCATACCTCTCTCTTCTGGGTCACCAGTCATTGACCTTTGGGGTAATTTTGGCTTGGGTTGCAAGAGAAACTGGACACT